TCCATCCATCCATCCATTTTCTGATCCGCTTGATCCTCATAAGGGTCCTCCACTAGGAGGAGAGCGATGGAAAAGTTACAAGGAGCTTCACCTTCTAACTGAATCAACAGGAGAGAATTCCAGTGAAGAGCAGCAAAGGGGAAGGACAGAATGATGTCAGAGGTTAGAGGTTAGGTTGTGAACTTTGACCTGTGGGTAGAACCCTACTGTGCGGCGTTTGTGGGTATGCACCTAGCGTTTTGTGCCTGCCTGAACAAAAACAAGAGGGAGTCATACATGTTTTGTTCATACAACTGCCATACTTCTAATGATGCACTGTGCATTTGCCAAACAGAGGAACTCAGAAAAATTGTTGAATCCCTGGGTGCGTTGCTATAGGAAATGCATAGTACTTTGAAAAACAAGTCGGTTTTTAAAATGTTTCATGCACAATAATAAGTTAGCAAAACGATTTCTGAAGCAATGACAGAAAATACTTTCGTAACTAGTTATTCATCAATTTGTTGTGTACATGTAATATGAGGTGATTATACATTTATTCGGGTTCACAGTCATAACAGCCCTCCAAAGGAAATCATAAGTATAATGTGGCATCTATCAAAAATGAATTTGACACCCCTGCTCTAAATGGAGATGACAGTAGTGCTGTCTAAAGACTTGAGATGATCTACACGAGAACATAGTTGTACACTGCTGCCGTCTGTGCATTAAAATTCTTGAAAGCTCAAAGAAACAAAAACTCATTACAACGAAATCTCATCTAACTGTACCCCAAAACCAAACTTGCATTGAACATTATGGCGATATACTAGAGAGCTGTAGCTTTTTACTACTGGCACTATGAGATTAAAAGTAGATTCAAAGCACAGAGTTAGCAAACTCAAAATGTTTGGCTTTTCGGGTATCAAAATGTGTCACTTTTTAAACGTGTGTTCAGTTCAAAATGGTGTCACATAATTGCCCCTCAAACCTAAAGACTCTTTAAAAGTAGGAACACTCACACACTGGCGGGTCATTATTGAAAGGAACCGGGGGGATGGGGCAAATTCATCAGGTCTACTGACCCCGCCCCGCCCCATCCCAACACATGCCCACCAGACTCCCCCACCTCACCCACCATATTATGTCATTGGTAATACCAGCCTCTTATCTCATTGTGGGTCTGTAAAGGAATGACTTCACTTTCACACAAGAGAATTTTCTCGCTGTGTGTGCGATCCAAGAAAGAGAAACATTTCTGACTCTGTTTTGCATCAATTGCCGGTGTTTTGTGTTCTCCATCAAAGAAGCTTTTCAAGTTCTCTTTCCTCCAGGGAATGCTACAGTGGTGATTGAAAAAATATATTCTGAATATTATTTCATCGTTTCTCCAGATGTGGTGTAAAAACGCCGCACCCTGCTACACTGGTTTCGTTGACATCACAATCGCAGCGTCTCCTCTGATCGCTTCCCATACCAAGCGTATGTTGAATAGGCAAAAGTGCCTTTCAAACAACCTGGTTAATCATTTCACGGTGACAAAATTAGCTAGACAAAGCTGACGAATGCCTCCACTGACACATTTCTGTGCATCTGCCTAATATATTCAATATATGGCAACATTTTTAATGATGCTCTCCATCAATTGTTGTCCTCTCTTTAATTATACCTCTCTAAACCCTCCATTCCACGACTCTCCCCACAACCCATTCCTCCAAACAAGCCCTCTTCCCTCCAATTCACTCATCTGTATTTAGGTCCACGAAATGTGTGTGTGGTGTGTGTGTGTGTGTGTGTGTGTGGTGTGTGTGTGGTGTGTGTGTGTGTGTGTGTGTGTGTGTGTGTGTGTGTGTGTGTGTGTGTGTGTGTGTGTGTGTAGGGGTAGAGTGGTGGAAGGCGGACCATTAGTTTGTTATTTGGTCGGGCGGCTCATTGAGCTCATTGTGCAGCAAAGGTACTCTCGCCCAGCTGGACTCAGCAAGAAGCAAAACTCTCTTTCAGGATTTCTTCTTCTTTGTTCCCCCTCCCCCTCTTCTTTCAGATCCCTCCTATGCTGCTCAGTAATCCCAAAATAACCCGAAGAGATTTGTTTATAGAACTAAACTCAATTTGCCAACCAAATAGCTTGTTTGCAGATAACGTGTGTTTACCTCAACATGTCAGCAGAGGGGCCGCTTGCCTCAAGGCACTTAATGTTGTTGACTTTTTTGTTAATTGCGTGTTAACAGTGGTGGTCTTAATCTGAGGCTAAATGCAGAGAAAATGTCTTTGGACTCTGAACTAATTACAGCAGCGTGTTGTTGCCTAACATAATTAGCCGTTCTCACGGGGCACACATGCCACTGTGGTTGGACCTCTGAAGGTGTGAACACATCCAAATGACAAATGCTCAATGTATGCGACACAATTGTACACGTAAATACACATCCCAGACATTATTAATGCAGACCAACAACAAGGGATGTAATCACAAAGTCTGTCTTCATAGAGACGATAATCACCTGTGAGTGACATTGTTCGAAAAGTACTCATTCAACATCCATTTTCTAATCTGCTTATTCTCACTCGGGTTGGAGGGTGTGTTGGAGCCTATCCCAGCTGTCTTCTGGCAGACGCGGGGTACACCAGCCTATCGCAAGACACACATGGACAAACAGCCATTCACGCTCACAATCACACCTAGGGACAATTTGGAGTGTTCCATTAACCTGCCATGCATATTTTTGAATGTGGGCGGAAACTAAAGTATTGGGACAACAGGCAAACTCCACATAGGAGTCCACTGTGAAGCGGGCATGCTGACCAGTCGACCACCGTGACGCTATTTATTCAACTGTGTTTTTTTATTGTATTTGTTATTTATTGTTATGAAGAACTGCATCCTATTAACAGCTCCAAATTATTTTTGTTCCTTATGCTAATATACTGCTTGAGGCAGTGCAGTTCAACACCACTGCAAACTACAACTACAATGAACGTGTGGTCATGTGGCTTTCCCCGTGTGTGGATGAAATTACAATCATACACATTGATTGCTCTGTTATGGACATTTATCAATCCTTTAACATTTTGAGCAAAAAAAAATAAAAAATCATTTGGTTTTCTTTGATTTTTGTTCCATACTTCAGGTGTACCATTGTACAAAGCAAACAGAGTCTACATCTACTCACATTTCACTTTAGGAAGAGTAACTGTAGATTAGACTAAGCATACTTACAGACCTGAGTTACAACTGTTGTCCTGGCCAGTCAAACCGCCCCTAGGATGAACAGTGTACAAATATATCATTACTGTGTGTGTGTGTGTGTGTGTGTGTGTGTGTGTGTGTGTGTGTGTGTGTGCGTGTGTGTGTGTGTGTGTGTGTGTGTGTGTGTGTGTGTGTGTGTGTGTTGGGGGGGGGTTATCCTCTCATCAAATACAAAAGCAAACATCCTTGCACATGCACACTTACACACTTAATGGAGACCATTCTACGACTGTCGATCAAAATAAACTCCTTGCCTTCATTGAACTCATTTTTTTTCGCTGCAGAGTTTGAGCAGTGATCCAGATTCAAGTGTGACTTTCTGGTAATGGAGATATGCTAACTAAACAAAATCAATAATGTGCATGACTTTGTGCTGAATAGGAAAACATGGTCCTTGAATGGAGTTTTGTCAATGATGCTCCAGTTTTGGATTACAAGAGGATTTGAGATTTTTCAGGTCAGAGTAAAAAATGTGTTTGGGATATCCTTTGGCTTTGTTTATTTTTGTTTTGACATCCATGATGCATGCTGGTGAGTATGTGATAAGAGACACATAGTCTTGCAGGCCCGGTCAACTCAGGTGCTGTATTGCCATAGCTCTTCTCTGCAGTGGAATATTTCACACATTTAACTTTGAAATCAAAGTCCTCACTCCTCCCAGTCTGTGTCATAGGGATAGGCTGTCTCCAAGTTGTCCCTTCAACCCATATGGTTGTCTCTCCATTGTCTCTCTGTGCTTTCGGCTCACATTTGCATTGTCAAGCAGTTCAAATGCACATCTTCTCCATGCATTGTCCCGAGAAAGTAGAAACATCTTATAACTGCTCATGAGAAGAAAACGCTGTATTTTAAAACACGTTTGTCACTCAATATATAAATGTATTAAAATTAAACATATACTTTTAAACATGCTGGCATGTTTGATTAATGATTGCCATCATTAATGCTCATTGGTATAAGTTCCATGATATGGCTTCTGTCCCTGTGCTTTCTGTCTAATGAAACTCCCAAGAACTCAGTCAATCAAGAGCTCAATCACAGTTGGCTTTACTTCTGTCATATGTGGAGATTAAAAAAGTAAACAGCCTTGACAAAGTAAAGTAAATGAAAAAATACACATATCTGGTTCCAAATAGTGGCAGTGAAAGTAAAAAGTAATAGAAATTAGACTCAAGTAGAGCATAGATGTGTCTAAAATCTACTTTGATAGTAGTAGAGTAGGCCAGAATTTACTTTGTTAGATCCCACCACTGCTGCATTCGTGGACAGTAGGAAATCGGACTCTTCTGAAGTCCAACTAGGAAAAGCGCAGAATTCCCCTTTCAAATGGAACCCCGACTTCACCGATTTGCTTCTATTTGACTCCACTCGACAATGGCGATAAACATATTGAGCTTTATTTATTTATTATGACATGTATTTTGTTATTCTATATAACTTCACGTTACTCGTGACACAACGTAATTTCTACTGACTGTGTGAAGATGTGCCGTTACGTCTCTACATGAAGTTATTTGATGAAATGAATGAAATGCTTTGAAGATATTCCTTTATTTATATAAATAAAGGAAATTATGAAACCGGTTTGCTGGAGGTCAACATGTGTTGTGCTGAACCACAACAACAAATCTTTGTTGTTGACATTCGCCTCAAACCTTTGTGGTCGGAACTGGGACTATCTGAGTGTGATTCATCCGACTTCCCAACTTCCTCGAATGCAGCACAGTGCAGAACAAACTTTTTTCAACTCAACTGAAACACTTTTGCTTGAGACGCATCCTGGGGTGCTTCTCTTGTCTGTTTGACTTGGGACGTTAGTTTCGTAGTTGCGTGTTTATTTTATTTACGTTGGCTTCTAAAGGGGGACTCGGTGGTGAAATCAACTTTTGGGCTGACTGAGTCACGAATGGGCGGTGTGGGAGTGGCCTGCAGCAGCAGTGTCCGGTTTTAAACCCACACGTGGTCGGCGTCTTGAGCTAGTTTTGCGCTCCACTCACTTATCAGAAACTTCCGATCGACTCATGCTACACTCTGGGCCGCATCCATCGCTGCGTGAGTGGGCAGATGCAGACTGAGATTTCAGCAAGCATAATGCCGTTTTACCATCTCGACCAGTTCGGTGTCCTGGACGAGATGATGTGCAAGGTAAAACAATAATAACAACAACAACACACGCGCGCACACGCACACAACCTGAGCGACTAAAACAGGAAACCTTTGCACAAGATGGTAGTTTTGGCCATGGCTGCGTGGAAGCACGCCGCAACGTTGCAATGTTTTAAGTTTTTAATGTTTGTCGTCTTGGTCGTAGTAACTTCATTATCAATTTGTAGCGTTCTCTGATGTGCGCGTGACAAATGAACGGCGTCAAAGTTAACCAGGCAAACTAACGCGTTATATTTGGTTGCCAATCAAGTGTTGCTCATATGCTGAATTCCACTTAAAATAGTTTAGGCCGGGTGTGCAACAATTGCGAACGGATGAAAATTAACGTCTATGTCGAGTCTATTAATTTGAAAACATTATACATTCAAATGTAAGATGTTAAACTGTTCATCACGTGGTTTAGTGGCACTAACAACCGTAATTCCTGTCCTATGAACCTTATCGGGTGTTGGGGGAAATTATCCAATTCAACTGAATTGGTCTGCAAATTATTGACCTCAAATCGTGTAGCCTTGTTTATCTATGCGAGGTAAGTCTAGTGACAGAACATGAATGACTTAATTCTTTTGCATTAGATGGCAATGAGTTCATCTGTGTACACAATTTACCTCTATCCAAATTTTCTGCCTCGTTTGATGGTGTATTGTGAAACTATTTTCTTTTATTATAATGTAAAATGTGGGACAACAAAGATTGTAAACCACTGCTTTATAGGACTTTTTAACTTCATGGGTGAATATGAATTAATCGCCCGTGCTACTATTGTCAGTTTTAACAAAAAGCAATCCCTACCAAGCTTATGAGGTCATAGTTACACGATTTGTCAGCTTTTCCAAATTTGGAAATTAAAAAAAAAAAAATGTGGTGATGTGTTTGTATGAGAAATGTGGTAGTCAGTTGATTATGTGCAAATACAGGCAGGGGGAAAGAAGTGAATTGGTGCGACGGCTCAAAGTGCACTTTCAATGAAATAAACTTTAACTGGTCCAGTATATGGGAGTAGGTTTTGCCGTAGTTATTTAGTCAGGCAAATCCATTTTTAAGGCTTTTTAAAATCAATTGTGTAATTTCGCTTTTTCCCTTTTTTGTGCAGCAGTTCCTGAGTTTTGACTTGAGAGGGCATGACAGTCGGCCGTCATCCCTCAGCTCAACAATGAAGACACCAGGCTATATTGGACGGGAACGTAGTTCTGACACATCCTTGTCTCTCAGCACCAGTCCGACAGACAATGTCCATATGTCCCCCAGTATTTGGGGGCAGCGACCGGAGAGCCACCAGGCTTCCCTTCTTGTTAATTCCACCCAGTGGCGAAAGCAACGCTTCCTGCCTCAGCGCTCGGTCAGCATGGTGGAGACCTCCAGTGCCACAGCGGCAGGTCTAGGCTGGCCTGATTCAGACATGAAGGACCCTCAGGAAGACATCAACCCCACCATGCTGAACCACAGCATGTCCACCTCCGCCACTTCCTCCGCCTCGACCCGCTACAAGACCGAACTGTGTCGTTCCTTCACAGAGAACGGCATGTGCAAGTATGGTGGCAAGTGCCAGTTTGCCCATGGGCCCGAGGAGCTGCGGGATCTCAGCAGGCATCCAAAGTACAAAACTGAACCGTGCCGTACGTTCCACACCATTGGCTTCTGTCCGTACGGGATCCGCTGTCACTTTGTCCACAACAATGAGGAGGGAAAAAATCACTTGCCCAGCTCCTTTTCCTCCTCGAGCTTTGCACCCCTGCGTCTTCCCTCCGCGCGCTCTCACAGAATCCCGCTCATCAGACAGAGCGTCAGCTTTGCAGGATTTCCTTCTGCTCCCCAGCAAACCATTCCTCCTCATCCTCCCCCTGCCTCTTACTCACGAGCGCCATCTGTCTCTCCTCCTTGTGCCGATATCACCAATCTCCTCTCTAATGTCTTCTTAGAGATGGACTCTACTACCTTTGAGGTCTCCCCTGCCCCCCAGTATCAAGGCCCCAGTGCTGCAGAGCCATTATCTTCTTTCCTGCCCTCCCCAGACTCTGGCTGTTCCCCTTCTGGTTTGTCTCCTGCATCCCCATCCCTGAGGCAGAGCCCTGGTGTGTCTGCTTTCTTTTCGCGGTCGCTCGGCACGAGATCCCTGTCCTATACCTCCCTTTCAGATCAGGACCAGGATGGGAGCAGCTCGTCCGGCTCACTTAATGGATTGGAGTCATGTGGCGGCATCAATGACGGAAAACGCCTCGCCGTATTCAGTCAACTCTCAGTTCCTGAGGACGCTGCAGGACTCTGCCTTTAGGCTGCACCACAATTCGCATACCCTTTAACACAGGGGCACACGCATACCCAAATCCTCACCCGACTTGAAATGTTCCAGTCAATGCCATATTGCAGAAAGGAGTTCCTAAGGAGTGCAAAAACATAGCAAAGATAGATGGATCAAAAGTCTGCTCGGATTCCCACTGAGATTATTATACGCGTGTCAAAGCCAAAGACCTTACCATTTTGTAGTTGAATATTGAGTATGGCGGAATCAGGACCATCGTGTGGCCTGATGTTTAAGAGGCACTGTACTGTATTGCTTTATAAGCTGCTCGCTCTTTCCGCCAAACCGTGCAGTCTGAGGTCATGGGGCGGTCACTGGCCTCAGATCAGAGGCATTAAAGCTCGTTGTTGTGTTTTTAAACAACTTGAAAGTACCTGTCGTGTTGCAGGTCACGTTGATTCCAGAGAGATGTGTCTAGGGAGGGGTTTTTCTTTTTTTTTTTTTTTTTTTTTTTTGGTCTTTATGAGTCAAAAGTGTTGCAAACAAGCTCAAATGTCAAAAATGAACTCTTCAACCAGATGACACTCCGAAGTTGGCTAACTGATTTTGGTTGTTATTTGCTGACGGTTATAACATTGACAATGGAGCAATGACTTCAAGAATCTTTTCACCTGGTGCCATCATAAAGTTTTGTTTCAGTGAGGACAAGTGGAAGATCCGACTTTGTGCCCAGATTTTTTTTTTGTTTCCCCCCTGCACACTGATGTTTTGATGAGCACAACCATCATCTTGTTTTCTCTCATCCAGTATTGGTTCTCACTGTTCATGCTTCATGTATTGTAATGATAGTGTAGTGTTTTTTTTTCATCACTTAAGCAGCAAACTAAAGTTAAACCTTTTAGAGCTGTTACTAGCTTGTTTTTGTGTGCTCAATGTAGTTAGGTGATAGCATCTTGTTGCGCTATTTAAAAGGGTGTTTTCATCGTCTCGTTTTGAGACCTGTTTAGTGGTGTAGCTCTTTAGTAAATTAATTTAATTTATTTTAACCTATTTATAGAGGACTTTGAGTTGGTAATGCTTGTATCAAGTTTAATATATTTGAGGGTTTTCATTTTCTTTGTTGAAATAAAGACGTTTCTAAAAAAAAAAGTCTGATTGACCTCATTAAAAAAAAAAAACAGAAACATAAAAACACCACAAACATGTCAGTAGTCCAGGATACGCCCCAAAAGTCAGCTGGGGTAGTCTCCTGATCACCAGTTCTGACCAATGAGCTGAATAAATATATTCAAGTGAAATTTAGAAAAGGCTGCAAAGGGTCTGGAGTAGCAGCGTGGATATTAAGCATGCAGATGAACAAGATGGGATCCTTGAAAAATGCCCGAGATTCAATGTTATAGAAACGACAGCTAAATAGCAAGTTCAAGCGGACTTCAGTAGAAATGATTGTGTATGGTACATGTACAGTATCCAACTAAAGGAAAATGCCCCGAGTGAGACGTTTATGGTCTGAATGCATTTTGATAAAGCTCTTGTTCAACAGTGATTATACGCAAGTGTATGTGACAGCTCTGCTCACATGCGGAGAGTTTTGCGAAAATGAAGAAACGAAACATTTCCCAAGGCCTGCTTGGAGCCTGTGTGACATCAGCATGCTGCCATGGAGATCTCATGCGGAGATAAGAAGTCTTTTGTTTGAGAGTTTAATCTTACCAAGTCTGGTCCCCCACCCATTTCCTTTCTCTCTTAACTCACCACCAAGAAAGTCCAACCCCACCACCCTCTTCGTCTTCCCTTTCTTTATTCCTCTCCTTCAGCGATGTCCCCCTCACATTGTAGCCTCGGTAGTTTATAGGGCTATTGGGATCTATTGGCTTCATTAGCACAACACTGCTTACGTTGGACTTCATCCCCATGGGCGATTCTCTTTTCACAAGGTTGTGTTTTTGTTTCATTCTTCTCCTTTGATGCAATACATACAGTACACAAGCAGAGGGCCAATCCACGCGCACATGCACGACGACGAGGCATGCAGGCAAGGAGAAGGCGGGAAATGTTGGGGGTGTGCGGGTGGGCGCCTTCCTCAAAACACTTCAACAATGCTCCGGGTGGGCGCCTTCCTCAAAACACTTCATTCAACAATGCTTCGCTCTACTTTGTTGATTTGCTTATCAAATAAGACCCCTCAAAAAACAACAAATGCAGATGGGCCAAAAGCAGTTTATTGATAGCGGGCAGCTATAAATGACTTTCATCCGCACTCATTCAAGGACTATTATCTTGTCACTTTTAACATGAGGGGTGTCTGGGAGTGATTAGTGGCTGTAAAGGGGTTGAAGGGGTGTGTGTGCGTGTGTGTGTGTGTGTGTTGTATTGTATCTGACAGACATTCTCCCACACTCTTGCCCTGTGGGGCATAGGAAAAGGCAGGCAGATGGCCGCATTCAGGTCCACCACGGGTCAACATATGGCCCAGAGAGACAAAGTTTGTGCTTGTGTGTGAGACTAAGAGACTCATTCTCAGTATGCATGAGCGAAGGAGGTTGAATGACAAGGCTAATGCGGAAAGAAGTAATCTCAGAAGTAAGAGTTGAAAAAAAAAATGAAGCCATGGGCTCATATAAAAGGATAAAAGTGAATGGCATCCCATGAGAGCATTCATGGAAAAGACAGCAAAAGAACACCATATCACACTCCTGGGACTTTAAAGCTTCCCTTTTATGCGATTTTGAGAAAAAAAAGTCATCAACCGAGATGTTCTGGAGTTAGTATATAATCTCTTGCATGATAGATCACGAATGTATGTGCACATTTATTGAATTTGAGTATTTAAACTAAACCCATTTTAATGATTCTCTCAATGAGGCGAGCCAAACATTTCAGGACATTTATGGAGACCTCTGTTTACATATTTTCTTTCTCTCTATCAGAAATAATGGGCATAGAACTCTATCAGAAATAGTGGAAATAGAACTGTATCTGGGTCTGAAGAGTCATATAAGCATAGAAAAGAGTCTTGTTCTTTAATGTCGCTAAATTAACACGACAAAGTCAGAAGCTCAGTCGTTGAGAAAGTGACAAGAAAATGGAAAGGGGCTTGCTGATGGTGACTTGACTTCATGTATCACTTTTTTTTGCAGTTGTTAGTGTACCACAGGTAACCTGACACAATGATGAATGTGCTGAAGCAGATGACAATATGTGCCTGAGAGATGAGTTTCTTAACATCAACTAAACACATCTGAACATTCGCTGCTTTTCAAATCTTCTGATTTTGCTTACATGGCCAAATATTCGGGTTAGAATTGCCTTATTTTGGTTTTCAAAAAGCTGAATATGAGCATATTCACATTTTTGCTCGTTTATATGGCCTTCCAAAATCAGATTATCACCAACGATTGCACTTTGGAAGGGTTATTATTGTCTGCACATAAACGGAGTAGAGGAGAAAGTACTGTACATTCTACTTCCCGTTTTCAGGCCGCCCTCTCTTAAGTCACTCACACCCTCCTTCGGTTTCTTCAAGCCATGCTTCCTGCCTACCCCCAACTCCCTCCCAGCTCTTGTGAACTTACATTTAATTTCCTTCAAGCCTCCCATAGAGGTTTCTAATTCCCTCCATCTCAGCTTCCCCGCACTCAAGTCTCCCTCTCTCCACTCCATTTCTACAACTCCCGCCCCTGCCTCCATCTTGCTGGCTCTCACCCTCGCTAATCCTGCTTGCAGACGTGTGTGATTTTCAGAGAGGATTTGTGTTTTCAAGGTTTCACTGAGTTGCAGCACATGCATATTCGGATTTGTTTCAATCAACCGACAAGAGAATTGCTGTTGTTCTGTTGTTCCGATGCACAGTGACTAATTTAACTTAACTCAGCTCACCAAATACTCTTGTTTCAAATGCTTCATCCCTGTTTTTGCACAATGGCAAGCAAGGGTTTCAAACGGAAAACTATATATTATTATGGTGACAAACTATTTCGTTAACATTCAAAAATTTGAGAACAGACTGAATGTATGTAAAGATGGTCAATGGAGGTTGACATTTGTGAAAGCAAGAGAGATCTGAAATGCATTGAGTTGGGACATTGCAGTGCAGGCATCTTTCAACAAAATAAAAGAGCTGTGCATCCCTCTAGTGGCTACAATGACAACATCCACAATAGGAGGGAACTTA